CCATCTTGTACAACACAAATCAAAATTTAACAGAAACCCCTAAAAATAAAAACAAGTTTAACAAACGCTTTGAGAAACCGCGAAAATTTGTTTGACCGTGTACGCTGCTGAACAAAGAACAACTTAAAGGCAGCCATGCCAGTGTTACTTAAGAAAATATCCTTTGTACATTTGCTGAAGAACGAGGTGAACGTAATAAATTAAGAACAAAATTTGCGAAGTTAGCCAAAATAGTAGATGTCATGTCTAAAACAGTAGAACAGTAGAACAGCGACAAAAATAGTGGATCTACTGTTAAAACAATAGGTCTGGCAACACTGAGCCAGACACGCCAGCAATTTTAAGAAATCGCGTGACTGCTCACTTGTGTACTTTACATCAACTGTAGTTGCGTTGATGTTTAAAACTTAAGTGGATCATATCAGTGCTATACTAAGAAAATTCGCGCTTGTTTGCTATGTGAGGGTTTGGATTTCGTAGCATTCTCAGCGCTTATAACGCGAATTATTACGCACCTTGCTATGACCTACAGAGCAAAACAATAAATGGGGTAATTAATTATCTCTGCTCAATCAAAGAGAGGGTCGTAGGTAATTTTTCCTTTTGTACTAGAATTTGGCTGAATGACTGATTTGGTTAAGACCGTTTGGCGATTGTACCAAGATACAATCGATTATTACCTAGGTAAATTATCTTATGTACACCACAAATGAAAAAGAAGAATAATTTTTAAGGGTTATGGTATATAATTAAAACGTGTTTATCAGATATTTAAAGGAGAATCTTGAGGTTTTATTCAATATCTAGCTATAATTTCGGTTGTATAGATAAGTCCTTTGAATTTAATATACAGCTTACGTACCGTTTAAAATAGATATATATTCTGGGTGGCTTACAAAATAAATGATTTTAATATATATACAAACTAAAAGGTTAAACAGGTTATTAATATATACAATTTTCAGAATATTCCCAAACACTGAGGGTGGAGATATTTTGTGTGATAACACCTTCTATCTGATAGAATTGAGCTGGTATAATCAGTAAAATTCCTACCTTGGAGATTGACACTATCCTACATAGGCAAGGGTTGAATTCGAAGACCTCTTTGGAAGGGTTACTTGACAAAATAGCCTATTGGATTCAAAGGCATGAATAGGTCCACTTATCATAACCTCCAATTAAAATATCGTCCTTTTCTTCGTTTGTAGGTAACTCCAGTGAGTAAGGGATGAAAATGGTGTGTCAATAGTTTACTACTATCCAGCACTAAGATTCTCAAATACAGCTGTCCTTGAGACTACCTCAAATTATTGTGATGTCTGGAATTACATGTAACTGTTCCAATGTAAATTAATCGAACAAAAAAAAATGAAATGAAACTATGACTACGAAAGCCAGAAAAGAAAAGGCCTAAAATACAAAATACTACTTTATACAGTGTGTCTGAAAAAGTTGGCAACAAATGGGAAACTTTTTTATTATTAAGTTTAGGAAAAAACGTCATTCTTCATAAAAAGTTCTGTAAGGCCTAAAACCCAATATACGATAATCAGATATCGAAATTTTCCAATCGTATACGAGGTTTGTCAAAAAGTATGAATTTTGCTCAAGAGTAAAGTACCTTTATTTTCGACAATATCTAAAATTGTTATTAAGAAAAGTTGATTAGAATTGAAAACTACGTTTAAATGTCTAATTACAGCTATCTACGATAAAAACCAGGTTTTATTATTGTTTACAATTTCTTTAAGATCGAAAATGATCAAAAACTAGGTATCTAAATTATTGACCTGTACAAAATCAAGTTGCTGTGGAAATGTTTTGAAACATATCTTATGTCAGTATGCTTCAAAACCTCAGATATCGATAGAAATTAAAAATTATGTTCATGTGCACTTACTGATTACACCACTCATTTTCTCATTGCAAATTTTGCTATAAATATTGACTTTGTTTTGCACGAGTTATCAATAATACAATGTAAACAAATGCATACATAATTAAAATCATTTATTTTCAAAACACAACATCAAACATTACATGCATGAAAAAGAAGAATCCGGATTAACTTTTCCCTCACTGCACGTACGCCTCAACATATCCACCGTCCCTTTCTAAGCAGGTAATTGTTATTCGAGAGAATTCTTTTATTGTATTTCTAATAACATCTGGAGTAATACCGTCACATGTTTCCCTAATTATTCTTTCCAAATGATCAATATTTTCAAACGGTCTTTTAAGGTATACCTTTTGCTTCAAGTATCCCCATAAAAAGAAGTCTAGGGGGGTCAGGTCCGGAGATCTTGGAGGCCAAGCAAAGTCCACAAATCTTCCAATTACTCTTCCGTTAAAAATTTGTAGAAGACATTCTCGAACATTTCTTGTACTATGGCAGGTTGCTCCATCATGTTGGTACCATGTACGTTGCCTTTCCATTATTGGTAGGTTATGAAGAAATTCAAGAATCTCATTATTTAAAAATTCCAGATAACGTTCAGCATTCATATTAGTTCGAAAAAAAAATGGTCCAATTATTCTATCTTTAAAAATTCCACACCATACATTTGTTTTAAAACAGTATTGGTCACGAGTTTGGACAGTGAAATTAGGATTAACATCACTCCACCAACGGCAATTTTGTGAGCTGACTACCCCATTAGAAGTGAACGTTGCCTCGTCCGAAAAAATTATGCACCGTGCCATATAATTATTATCTTCTAACTCCCCTTGGAACCAAGCACAAAATTCAAATCTTCTATTAAAATCTCCTGCTTTTAGGGTATGAGTGAACTGGGGTTTGTAAGGTTTAAATTTGTTTGCTTTTAATATTCCTGCAACTACGTCTTTGCGCACACCAAGTAAAGCTGCCCTTTTTCTTATGGAATCTTTAGGATTTTCTATTGCTGAGAGCATTACTTGATTTTGAATTTCTTCAGTAGCAACCCATGCCTCATGTTTCTTTTTGAATTTATTCTCAACATTTCCGGAACACTTGAACTTTTTTATTATTTTACTTACTGTTGCAAAATGTACATTTTTATCAGGATGTCTGTTATTAAAGATTATGGCAGCTTCCCTATAAGTTTTGTAGTTATCTCCAACAATTAAAACAATTTCAATTTTCTCTTCAAGACTTAATTTCAACGGCATTTTTACTAGTATTTAAAAAAGTACAATTATTACAAACTGAGGTTTTGAAGCATACTGACATAAGATATGTTTCAAAACATTTCCACAGCAACTTGATTTTGTACAGGTCAATAATTTAGATACCTAGTTTTTGATCATTTTCGATCTTAAAGAAATTGTAAACAATAATAAAACCTGGTTTTTATCGTAGATAGCTGTAATTAGACATTTAAACGTAGTTTTCAATTCTAATCAACTTTTCTTAATAACAATTTTAGATATTGTCGAAAATAAAGGTACTTTACTCTTGAGCAAAATTCATACTTTTTGACAAACCTCGTATACGATTGGAAAATTTCGATATCTGATTATCGTATATTGGGTTTTAGGCCTTGCAGAACTTTTTATGAAGAATGACGTTTTTTCCTAAACTTAATAATAAAAAAGTTTCCCATTTGTTGCCAACTTTTTCAGACACACTGTATATATGATCTTATATTAAGGAAGGACAACTAAGTGATAATTGAGAAATTACTGTACCTGAGTTGAAATGTGGCCTTGTTAGAAGTAAGTTTTTGCTTAATTGAAAATATAATCCTCTTGCGAGATTATAATAACAAATAGCAATACTAAATAAATTTTTAATGTCTTCGTTTCTAGTACCTTATATCCTTATAAAAAGATCTTCAAAAACACATGTTCCATGAAGGGATACTAGAAGAATGAAAAATGGAGGCAGGATATGCACCGACAAAATTAATGACTTCTACAGGAAATGATAATAAAATATGACAGGTAATTTAAAATATTATTAGCCAATTTCTCACAATCACCTACCTAATTCCAAAATTACCCAGATTATTTGGGGTTTTAATTATTTGTAATGAATTAGACAATTACAGAATTTATAGAATTCAAAACGTTTCTTTGTCCCTTTTAGGCTCCTAGAACTTAACTACAAACTAATTAAGAAAAACAATGGAAAATATATCTACAGAGGACCAGAACGAATCTTCAAAACAAGAAAGAAATACTTGATAAAAGGTTAAACTTCTACAATTTCCAATTTGACAATGGACTTATAAAAGGTATCTTTTCATTCTAGTTAACTCACAGAACATGAGAAATGGATCTTCTATTAAACTTCTACCCAAAACGGAGTATACGGAGTGATCTTTTAGTAGATTTTATTCCTATTATACTTAAATAATAAATTAAAAGTTAAATGTCAATACTATATATATTATTTTTGTGGCAAAAGCATCCCAGTACATTCATATGGATTTTGAACCGTAACAACCTCCGGTACAAACGCCTGTGTTAAATTTGTAGAAACATATTTGAAATAAGAAGAAACATAAGATTTTCTAACTTAACCAAAAAAAACTTCACTTGTCACTATTAATTTTGTCATACTAAAACCACATGTATTAGTAAAGTCATTTTAACATCTTTCTTTAGTTTTTACCCCATTCTCAACAATTTTAACAACATAATTGAGTCTAGAAAGACTATACTTCATTAAACTATTTTTCTTTAATTCTTCGGCGATATCTTTTGCAGAAGTTGACGGGTGCAAATTTCTCTAAAGATGGGACCTCCATATTACGCTATCGAAGTAGACAGTTTTTGGATCAAACATGTCCTGGTCGTTGGATAGGCAGACGAGGTTCAATGAGCGAGCGGCCACCTAGGTCACCAAATTTAACTCCTATGAAATTCCCTATATTTATCTATGCTAGTACCTATTTTATTTTAACATTTCTTGTAAGAGAAAACAATTATTCGCTATATTTCCTAACTAAAATTATAATTGAAATAAAAACTCTACTTTCTACTTAATCTTTTAATAAAAATATAAAAGAAATTCAATCGTAAAAAGTGTTTTCATTGGAATCATTAGTTTCGATAAATGGAGTTATCTCTTCCGTTGCGAATCCACTTGTTACGGTCGTCGATGACTCCTTTACTTTCACGAATTTGTAATCGGATGCCATTTCCATAAAAAGCATCATGTCCGCTACAATGAGAATCGCGAACAGGAAAAATTCATGGGCCTGAAACGAAACAATCGTAACGCACATTTCTGAACGTACTATGTTTAATTTATAATTAAATATAAATAGTATTTGTGAAGACAATTTTATTTAGAAGGAAAAATTAATCTGAGATTTACCTGACTTTTGAACATATTCAGTTGGGTAATTATTATTACTAAAAGATTGCCAACTGCAACAGATAGATACCATCCAGCTATTGTGACTGTTTTCATACTTTTCGGTGCCTAAAACAAAGTATTTGACTTACAGAACCTTTATCTTACAAACAGAGTAATTATCTTACATACAGAATATTTATCTTACAGAGTTTTTTGGATTACAATACAAATATTTTTATTATCAGAGTAATTATCTTACAGATTATTTACCTTGCATACAGAATATTTATCTTTCAAGCGTGCTTTGAATTTATCATTTTCTCTATGCATTTATTATGAAAATAGTTTTACATACATCGCTTTTAAGAATAATGAAAACAAAACAAAATTATTTAACATATTGACATCTATTTAGTATTTTGATTGTTTGTTTGGAATGTTGATACTTTTGAACTTCAAGGTAAATTTTAATGAAAAATGGAAAATGTTGCATTTACCAATAATAAATTCATCAAATTATTCACGTGAAGTGTAAATATACAGGGTGTCCCAAAATTAGACGATCATATTTTAACAGCGTAATCTACATCCTAAAATAGGAGTAAAAAATCATACAAACATAGGTCCGAAAACGTTCCTTTTCCGAAATACAGGGTGTTAAAAGTGAAGTCCTGATGACACACTTTTATAAATATTTTCTAAACGTTTAAAGATAGTTCAGTAACTGAAAGGACCAACCTGTCATTAAGTCGGTCCAGATTTCCGTTGTGGCTCAACTCTTAGGTCTCGGCGGTCGCTTCCAAGGTCGAAAACTTTTACCAACTCTGCTGCGTCGGAAAGGGCCCAAAATGGACCCTAAAACTGGTTTCCCGCCAATATCTTCCACAATATGCAAATTAGAGAATTTTTGTTTAGATAAAAAAGAAAGGTCTTATCATTATCTACAAAAATGGTACCTATCATTTTTGTCGGGAATTCGACAGGTTTCGAGATAACCGCAATCAAAAGTCCCCTCGTTCAGCCCCTGCTTTATCTCTATAGCAATGCTGATTAGCTTGTAGACGGGTGGACAAATTGTTTCAGAACTTGGTCAAAAATTGATATTTTTCGATGATTCAAAGTTCATTACAATGGGAAAACCCATAGGTATCGATCCATGTGCCTTGAAGCCCGTTATTTTCTGTCAAGAACATTGAATAAGGGGTCAAAGTTGCGTTTTCCTACTATTTTGGACCACTTTATAGTAATTCATTCATATTTTTTTTTTTTTAATAGTTTTTTATCTCATTTTTGTTTTAAGTGGAATCTTGAGATGTCTCGTATGATCTCAGAATTTTTTTTTAGTATCTTCCTGGCGTTTTAAAACAAAATTGATTTGTTTATTTGCATTTTTCATACGTTTTCGGAGTTCTAGAAATCTTTGAAACAAGCAGTAATTAAAAACTCATATTTCATTATATTGTTATTCAATGCACACCATTTTAAAAAAATACATTCGAAAAGTAGACACACAAGCTTTATTCGAATAATTAGTAGGCCTGTGGAATCAAAATTTTTATTTTTTTTTAACATTGGAAAACCGGTGACTAAGGAAATTTAAAAAAATATTTACAAAAATGTGACATCAAGACTTTACTTGTAACACCCTGTATCTCGAAAACGAAAGGTTTTCGGACCTATGTTTATATGAACTTTTTTTCTTATATTGAGATGTAGATTACGCTGTTAAAATATGACCGTCTAATTTCGGGACATCCTGTATATAATATCTTTTTACAAATTATTTTTCTTACAGAATCATTTTCTTACAAATAAAGTATTTCAATTACAAAGAGAATATGTAACTTACAGAGTATTTATCTTACAAACAGACAATTTATCTTACAAACAGACGATTAATCTTACAAAGAAACGATTTATCTTACACAAAGACCATTTATCTTACAGATTATTTATCTTACAAACAGACTATTTATCTTACAGACTATTTACCTTACAAACAGAAAATTAGCTAAAAGCTAATTTTCTAGTTCTTTCAGGTCAATTTCTGGCCTTGCAGGATTTTTTCATAGAAAACGTGTATGTTTTGCTGATAACTCTGTACTTTAGTTTCAATTTTAGGAGGATGAAAACTATAAAATGGTGGTAAGTAATTAACAAAAATATATTTAAACTTTTACTCTTATATTGAGATGTAGATTACGCTGCTAAAATATGACCGTCTAATTTCGGGACATCCTGTATGTAATATCTTTTTACAAATTATTTTTCTTACAGAATAATTTTCTTACAAATAGAGTATTTCAATTACAAAGAGAATATGTAACTTACAGAGTATTTATCTTACAAACAGACAATTTATCTTACAAACAGACGATTAATCTTACAAAGAAACGATTTATCTTACACAAAGACCATTTATCTTACAGATTATTTATCTTACAAACAGACTATTTATCTTACAGACTATTTACCTTACAAACAGACTACCTACATAATATCAATGAATATACTTAGAAGGTTCTTTTTAGTATGTCCTTTCTAGAATGTTCTCAGAATATACCTAGTATATACTAATGGCGGATTGAAACTAAAGTACAGAGTTACCAGCAAAACATACACGTTTTCTATGAAAAAATCCTGCAAGGCCAGAAATTGACCTGAAAGAACTAGAAAATTAGCTAAAGGAGGATGAAAACTATAAAATGGTGGTAAGTAATTAACAAAAATATATTTAAACTTTCAGCAAACATAATAATCATTTATGTAACTCTTTTTGTTAGTGGAATGCTATGTACAATTTTAAGTGTTTTACGTTCGACAAAAATATTTAAAATATTCCATTAGCTATGTACACTTAATTTGTATATGTACCAAGTTTGTTGATTTTGTTTATTTTTTAGGCTCAATGAAGATCCAATGGAATCAAGCAAATGAAGCTTAAGCCATTCATACAATAAAATATTGGTTGGTTAAGGCCATGTAATGAAGTCAATTTTCGTTAATATTTTTTTTACTAATTTCGATTTTTACTTAATTTTAACTTCGTAGATATGCCCTGTATATCAGCTTGTTGCTGTTCAGACCAAATCGTTCAGATACCCTGCGTACGCGAGTTGCTATGGTGGGATTTTCTGTTAGTAGAAGGGGAAGCGTGATTGAACGAGCTATGAGAGTCAATTAAAAATTTGACTTGCTATTACACCGATTTATTGAATAGGCGGATATTTAAAAATTACTCAAACACGACTAAGATATTGCTCGCGAGAGACAATTAAAACCGATATATATTTCTAGCCGCGATCTTTACGATAGGTAAATTGTTGTCATTGTTTTTATAAATTGATTTTTTTTTGCTCGAGACTTTAAGCCGTGCTTTTGGAAACCGTTTTAGTTTGATTTATTTTTAAATAATATTATTCCGTGTTGAGTTAAGAATTGAAACTTGTTTTGATAAAGAAACACTTTAATTTATTCTTGTTAGAAAGTACCTTTTTTTTTGGAATTTTATTTTAGTTTATTTAAGGCTTTAACTGTTAAATAATCTATTTTTCATTCGATCGTCATATAGTTAATTTTTCCTACTACCGTAAGTTTCCGTGGAAAAATCGTAAATTTTATTTTAGTTTATTTAAAGCTTTAGCCAATAAATAATTGGTCGGAACTGTTTGGGAATTGTCTAATATTTTGATTTGTTATCTTACTAAAATTGCGACGAGACATTTTCTTTTATTTTATACTCCGAACTGCAAATTTTAGAAGAACCCTAATAGCATCATTACCCTGTCTGAAGCGGCTCGTGATTACGATCACTTCAATCAGAGATAATGTGCTATCCCGGTTATTAGTTTATTTTAAGTCTGAAACACTCATTTGCGTAAGTCTCCGTTATTTAAGTGAACTGAAATAGTATCATTCCCCTGTCTGAAGCGGCTCGTGATTACGATCACTGCATTTAGAGATAATGTGCTATCCCGGTTGTTAGGTTGTTAGTTGGTTTTACTTTCAAACCAGTACTTTAAGTAAACTTCTTATAGAGTCCCGGTTTCAGCCCTGAAAGAAGTACTGTCCCGAACCTGTCTCCTCGCATTCTCTGCAACCGTATATGCAATACCGATTAGACAATTTAACACTTAACTTTTCCTACGACCGTAAATATTATTTTTTTGTAGAGAAATAATAAATTGCACTTTTAGTTTGTTTAACGATTAAACTGTTAAATAGTTAATTTTTCCTGCGTCGGTAAAAATAGTATGATAGTAAATTTTTTCTACGACCGAATTAATATTTCTCCTGAACGAAATAGCAAGTTACATTTTTAGTTCAACAACCAAATAGACAGTTTAATAATAAACTTGTGCTGCGACCGTGATTACAATTATTGATTTCATTTTTTTACGACTAATTGAGGCTATTCGGAAGTCGTTTCCGGCCGTTTTGTTTGTTCATTTTTGTTCAGGGTTTGTACATATTACCGTGAGGGTGGGCGTTGAAATAAGTTCATTTATTTCTTTTTTATGTTGTAAATAGATTGAAACAATATATGTGTCAATGTTAACTTGCCGTATTACTGGTTACTAATTCCATACTTTATTTCCCCCTTGTATTTCAGCTAGTGATAAATTCTGTACCAGCCCAAGCAACGATTAAAGCCCGTTACTTGTGGCCTACCATTACCTGTGTCTAAGTGATCTTTGACCCCTGGAATTTTTCATCTCCATCTGTAGCTACCCGAGTACCTTCAACGCTGCTTCGAGAGTTTGTGAAGTAAACCATAACCAAAAATCTGGCGCTCGAGAGCCACCCGTAACCAGCGCCATTAGTAAGGGACAATTTTCTCAGAGGCGAGAAAACTCCTTACAGCCAAAGAAAGAATTTGTAATAAAAATTGGTCTGAATTTTTTGAAATAAAGATTTAAAAAATTGTCACCACTTTCATTATCACTTATTTTTTTATGTTAATTTTAATATTAATATTGTATTGAGGTGTCTAGCATATGCCTAGCATATACTATATTTAAATACTTAGCATATACTTAGAACGTACTATCAACTTAAAGTAGATACTTATTGCATACTATACACATATTTGAAGTACATTCTCAGTATCTGCATAGCACGTATAAACAACGTCACGTAACATATGCTTAGTATATTTTGAGAACATACTAAATGCAAATAAAGTATATTCTTAGCATACGCGTATTCTTAAAAAGTATATACTAAGAATATGCTAAGAATGTATAATTGTTATCTATTTGTCTTACAGAAAAATATAAACAGAAAACCGGTTTTGGAAAACCCTCAACTTACTTGTGTAAAAGAAAATTCCAAACCAGCTACGCCAAACATAATTTCAGCTATAGATATCAGAAAATACTGAGGTGTCTGCCATAATATGTTCACAGTATTTGGAACCGACATTGTGAATAATTTGACAAACTGAAAATAATAAAAAAATATTATAAAGATTATTGCTAAATGGTGGTAGTTTGTTTAATAGGGATTTTTAATTATTTTTATGCACGACCGGGCGATAAAGTCCAGATTATGAATACGTTTAGCGGGCGTAAAGTGCTCCTTTATCGCCCACGGATTACTCTACCACCCATCGGGCGATAAGTAATAGTAAAGTAATATTATTCAACGAGCGGATAATGATGGCTATTACTCACGAGGATAAGTAATAACTATTACCCGCGAAGAAAATGAATTTAGAGTCAGTCACTAAAAAACCTGTTAAAGTTGAGAACTTTAATTTTGGATTGTCCTCACTGCATTCGTGGATTCGATGCTTTGAGTGTTTGTTACACATATCTTATCGACTACCATTAAAAATTTGGCAGGTTAGAAGATCTGAAAACAAAAAAATCTACGAAGATCGTAAAAAATATATTCAGGCTGAGTTCAAAACCAAGATCGGGTTGGTAGTCGATAAACCAGAACCGGCTTACGGTTCCACGAATGACGGTAACACATCAAGAAGGGTTTTTAATAACGCTGATCTTAGTTCCGCACTAACAGGTATCGACAAAGAGCTAATATTAAAATTTTCCATTAATTTACGAACGATTAATTTAATCCAATTTGACCGGTTACTTCTTGAGACTAGATGACTCTACTTACAATTCTACGATTGGTAATATATGCCTAGTAGTGTGCGTAAGCTATTAGTTCACAGAAAAGATATAATTCAGCATTTTGACCTTCCGATTGGCCAGTTAGCTGAAGACGCCTTAGAGGCTAGACACAAAGAAATACATAAATTTCGACTGTTCCATTCAAGAAAATCTTCAAGAGTTAACACAAACACAGATATAATGACCTCAATACTAATAACTTCTGACCCATTTGTATCATCTTTAAGAAAAAATAGTTCCAGACACAACGAAAATCTCAGTGGTATCAACGAATACATAATCGATTCGCCTGTAATAGATGATAACCACTTAGATTTACCTATGATTCTAATAGACATAAGTGGTGACGAAAATGAATCTTCAGATAGCGATAGTGAATAAACTTGCATAAAGTTTCTTTTAATTTATTAATGTTTCCTAGTTCTATTTCTTTATAATTTGTTATGTATTATTATTAAATTTAAATAAATATAAATAAAAAGTAGATATTTTTCAAGTTATAGATGTCTAATCTTTAAAAATATATGTATGTACAAATACCAAGTTATAAGGATTTAATTTCTTAAAAAATATATTTATTTGGGACAACTTGTATGTCTGGTACCATATTTTTTTTCTTCTGTACATTGATAATAGTCTGTCATATAAATATATCCCAATTTTTTTCCAAAACTATTGGAGGTTTAGGACTGAGGATTTTTGTCCAGGTAGATCTATATCGCGACGCACTGTGCGTCGGTGTAGATATGAATCGTACCTGCCACTTCTGGCCGGGGTTGCCAACCGATCCTTACCACTTTACTCTCAAAATGTTTTTCGGATTACTCACAATTACTCATAATTACTCACAATTACTCACAACTTCAAAATATCAATATTACTAGTTTTTTTATATAAATTGTGTATTATCGTGCTTCGTGTTTGTTTTTATTTTACTACTGTGCAATGTTGCCAAACATCAAAAGATAAATTTAAAGAACATATAACAGTCACAACAGATGCACCCTTTTTCTGTGCATTCACCATTTTATTAATCAAGAAAAACATATAAAAAAATCTTTGTAATCATCTTGAAAAAAAAAACAGATAAAAAAGATTGAAGAATTAGAGTATCTTCTTTAATAACGGACAAAAACATAATAAATCAATAATTCTAATACCTGAAAAAAATCTACTAATAAAAAAATATACTTTAAAAATTAACAAAAAAAAAAGATATTAATAATCGACGATTGGACATTGGACAGTCCCAACGGGACTATCACTATCGACACAATACTAGTGTTGTAAGTTGCAATATCAAAATCACAATTACTCTGTTATATGTATTAGTCAAGCAATAGAGGATACTGTAATTTTAAAACTAAAAAATTGTAATGACTGCTAGAAGTGCTAGGGGGCATAACATTAGGTTTATATTAAGATTTTTAAAAATTATACGGTTTTAATAAATTATGCGATCAAAATTTTGCCTAACTACCAATAATATACCTACGCTGACTTCTCGATTACTTACATATTACTCACAATTCTCCTTTACTCACAAAATTACTCACATACTAGTAAATTACTCACAAATGTGAGGAATTACTCACAGATTGGCAAACCTGCAGTTCTGGCTCTTCTATTTGTTCTTTATAACTTTATATGACTTATGGAAGATAAATATATCTTGGTGAGATGGAGTCCATGTTCGTTTGAAACAGTGAGAGCGTATCGAGCACCTTCTGCCAAAAGCGACGTCTCGCCTCACCAGATCCTACATCAGGTTCTATTCCAACCTTGCGGAGGCGTGTCATTGTCGATAGAGCAACCTCTTTGATGTAAATATCAAGGGGAGTGGGACTAAGAATGACTTCAATGGCTCTGGTCGGTGTTGTTTCCATGGCTCCTGTTATCTTGAGACATGCTGTTCTTTGAATTTTTGGGTGTTCGGTACCCAGACAACTGCACCTTATGTTAGCATAGGTCTTATGATAGTCGTGTAAGTCCATGCGACGACTCTGGGGGAGAAACCCCAGTGACGCCCCACGGTTCTGCAGCATTGTTCATAAGCAAAGTATGCTCTTTTAACTGTTTTCTAAATGCGAGTTCCATGTTAACTTGCTGTCAAAGGTAAGACGTAGGTACTTCACCTCTGTTGCAAAGTTTAGTTTTGTGTTTAGGAGTTCTGGAGGTTTTCATTCCATTTTCATCCTTTTTCTTGTGAAAAGGACCATTTCTAACTTCTTAGGATTGATTGACAGTGAGTGATCCTTACACCGCTGTTCTATAATTTTTAGAGATACTTGCATTCTTTCGCAGAGTATGTTCTCAAAATTCCTTGTTTGCAGAATGACCCCAGGTCATCTGCATATACTATTGCGTAGTGACTGTCATAATTGAGACGGTTAATGAGGGTGTCGAGGACCATATTCTACAGTAGAGGTGATAGCACCCCTTCCTGTGGACATCCCCTCGCAACCAAGCCTCTTATATTCACATGTTCTACACTTATGTTTACTGCTCGCTTTGATAGCATGTTATGTATCCACCCACTGACCATTTGTGGAACATTCCTCTTAGGTAGTGAGTCTATTATCTTTGTGAAGGTGGTTTTATTAAAAGCACCTTCTATGTCTATGAAAACACCCAAGGCAGACTCCTTATTGTCCAGGGATCTTTCTATCCGGCCAGCAACTAGATGAAGGGTTGAATCAGTAGATCTGCCTGGGGTGTATGGTATGTTGGTTCCCTTATGTACTTTTCGCATAGCCTTTCCAATGTCTTCATGGAAAACGATGTCAGACTAATTGATCGGTATGTTTTGGGATAGTGTAATCCATCCTTCCAGGTTTGGATATAAATCTGAACATACCCACCAGGTGCGGTGTGAGTTCTTCCAGACCCCTTTGAAGTAGAGCTGGATAGATAACGCCAGGTCATGGCGATTTAAATGGAGAGAAGCTGGATATTGTCCATCTAATTTTTTCATCGTCTTCAATGTGTTTGGCAGTTTGCCAATCATAGACAGATGGATTGTATTCTTCCTCTGTTCAGTCGGCCACGTCTGTGATGACCAAGTCAGGGAAGTGTGTTGACAGCAGAAGTTTGATGCTATCTTCGAGGTTGGCAGTTCTCGTGCCATTCTCTTTGATCAGCGCGCCAATTCTTCAATGTGGATCTTATGAGAGAGCTTTTTGAAGCCTCGTTGCCTGCGGGAAATCTTCGATTTCTTCGCAGTAGGATCTTCATACATCTCTCTGTGTATCATTAAACATTGTAAGATACACGCCCGTTAACTAATCTCTACATGCTCGCACGTTCATATAACGTGCTCGCTCGCACATTAACGTCCGTCCTCGCATGTAAAGATCCAAGTAATGGGCTTATAACGCAAACTAATATTATAATTTTTCCACAAAATTAGGAAAAAATTTACACAGATTACGATTCATATGTTCTTTCTTAATTTGGATTTTTTTAAATGAGTTTCATCATTATCCAAACATATCTATTTCAAAATAATATGAAACGATTGCTAGAGATCACTTTTGTAAAATGGGCCTCTTTTCTTATTTGGTTTCCCGGTACATATTAAAAAAAATGTTGGAATTTAGATAGTGATCTATTATTTGTAAGCAATACTAAATAATTCATTAATATACCAATACTTTTTGCAGTGTTTAGAGTATTCTTATTTTAAAGTACCTATAACCAGATAAGTAGGTACCTACCCTTTTTGGTACAAATGTCATTCACAAAATAATCTAAAAATTCAACGTAATCTAAAAATGCCTCTTGAAATTTGAACAAGAATTATCAAAATTACTGATTAGGTAATAAATATTATTATTTATCTTATAATTACAAAAAAATAATTAACAAATTAACATAAACACTTAAAACAGATTTTTAATTCGGCCCTGCGGCAAAAAATATAGAAATAAGCCTAAAAACGAAAATATACATAAACGAGTTATTCCTACAGCAACTATGAAAAAATAACACTTACTATATGATACTACTAGCGATATACAGAAGGCCGCAACGAAGTTACTGGAATATTGGAGACCCTTATTCTTGCTGGGCCGCTCTCGAACATTTGGTGGCTATTCGCGTGCATATAAGGTTAAATCAAGCGGTGGCGAGTTATTAGTTAATAGTGTGGAATAGAGTACGTGAAGTTTAATGGTACGGTCAATAGTTTATTGGTTTTTAATTGTAGGTATTTTGTTTTTGTAAGTGCTACGTAGCAAGTGAAATATATCTTCAATGAAAAAAAAGTAATTCTGCCTGGACGGAAGCACTGATCTTTCCAAC